GAAAAAAAAAAACAAAAAACTGAATCAGCCAAATTCTCCAATATATCTTATTCTAAGTATATAACACTCTTTCCTGACTGCTTCATATAAGATTTGACAGGCAATAAATTAAACTAATAAAATGTGGCCATCTTGAAGATCAAATGTGTTTGGCTTACAACTGTTTTATTTCTTCAGCTGCAAGAGCTTAAGTCTTAAAAAATCTCTTACAGATCTTTATAGCAGAATCATAGAAAGTCCTTGAGTTTCTATTGATAACTTGATCTAATAATCTAGAAAATTTAGCTTATAATTTTTTTAAGATTTATTTATTTATGCATGCAAACCTGCAGTACAAGCCAGAAGTGCAGGGTTGGTGAGGCTTCACCAGAGACATTGTTGGGAGCAGAATAGATGAAGTACACTGCTGAGGGGAGCAGCGGGCGGGTCAGGAGAGGTCTGCAGCACCATGTGGTCACCTCTGGGGCTGGGGAACTTGCACTGAAGCGCCTGCGGCCAGCTTGCAGAGCTGCGTCCTAACTCATTGCACCATCAGGGAGGGCCCTAGCTTATCATTCTTAATCTTTAAAATACTTAGCAATACTAGAAACAGTCACAACACCTCTACAATCCTATCCTTTATTACTGCCCTGTGGTTGTAGCAATTGGAACCCCAGACATTGCCTTCTATTAGCGTATCAGTATAGATGATCCATGGGATAATTAGCTACTGTGCTACTGTTTGCCTTGCAAAAATCCACTTCATTAATATTAGTTGGATTTTCCCTGCCTTCATTCTGAGTCAAATAACTCAGTTCTCCATTGCCACCACCCCACCTTTTCCTAAAGCTCTATTGCCTAAGGACATTTTTAGTAAAATTTTCTCCAGCAGTTAATTTCTTGGAACAATATTTAATGAATCGGGCACAGATTAAATGGGAAGATAGGCAAGGATAAAGAAAAGTTTATCAGATAATACGACAGCTAAACACGCCAAGAGAGCTAGTCTACTGGGGCCCTGCCACTGCTGCCACCAGAGGAATCACAGCTTGCTCCATTATCACCCTCAGTATTCAATACTGGACCCAACAGTTGGCAGCGCAGACACGGTTGTGCCTGCCAAGTGGTAGGGCTGCCACTGACACCAGAAAGAATTCCCCACAGGAAGAAATCTCTCTACTGTCTTTGTTTCTTTGTGTCATTAGTTTCAAAGTCAAAATCCCAGATGAGCATATCTGATTGGCAGAGCCTCAATCAAGGGCCTACATCCCAACTGGCAGAGAAGCTAGAATACTAGGTATTTGTTCATTTCAACTTCTCTCTTGGGATACAAGGGATTCAAAAGCTCGATAAGGACAATTAGAACTGTCCACTGAACATACAGTGCTCTGAGCCAAGGCTACGGGATATGACAGATGTGCAGAGATTTGCTTCCTTTCATAGCAATATGCTATTTAATATATATTGCAGGGCCTTTCTCATAGCAGGTACTAGCAGCTGCTACAGGTATTATAAAATATCATACTTACTGTCATAATTATGGTCGTCATTACCACAAAATGTCAATCTGCAGGGATCAGTGAACAAGGATTAAATGCAATAACAAAAGTCTCCAGTACACCATAGAGACCAATGACAAAGAGGCCTCAATGGTCCCACCTGATGGAATAAATTAGGAGTGACCTCAGGGATGGCTGGGAGAAGAGAGGCTAAGTTAACTAGAATTAAAAATCTTCCACTGTGGTGGATCAGACTCAAAACTGAAAATCAGAAAGAGGTGTATTTCTTGCCAAATTTAAGTACAGGCTGATATTTGCAACCCATTACACCGCTTTTCTGCAGCACTGCACCAGTCAAGCACACTGCACAGTCAAGCCTGTATTGTCCCCTTTGGGAAAACTTCAGAGCTTAAGTCATACTCACTGTGTCTGTACAGAACTCACTTTTTTTTCTTTTTTATTACAAAAGTTTATTTTTACATCATTTTGTACATTTTTTTTTCCATCTCAATTGTAGTCCCCGCGGGTTTCCCATCACCAAGTCACCCGTGTGCCATCACCATAATCCGGTGCATCCCCCTCCCCCCCCCCCCGTTTTTTATCCCATTCCCCACTCCACCCCCACAGAATGTCTCTGGTATATGGTTGTTCTCTATTTTTGTTATTTTCTCGCCTGGTCCATTATACTCCTGCTATGTGTGAAACCATCTGGTATTTTTCTTTCTCTTTCTGGCTTATCTCACTAAGCATGATCTTTTCCAGCTCCATCCAAGCTGCTGCAAAAGACGTGTTTCTTTTTTTTTGGTTGCTGAGTAATATTCCATTGTGTATATGTACCACATCTTTTTTATCCAGTTATCTACTTTTGGGCATTTGGGCTGCTTCCATGTTTTTCCAATTGTAAATAAAGCAGCAATAAACATGGGGAGTACAGAACTCACTTTACACACAGGCTACGATGGATATTGTGAGAGCATTATGCAGCTCTCAAAAGCCACTGCAGCACAAGTTCAATCCCTGGCCAGGGAGGTGACCCACATGACATGGTAGACCTCCCCTGATCCACCCTCCACTCCCTTCAAGTGTACTTCAGTCAGTTGGCCTGCTCTGTTCCCCACTGTCTCTGGTGAATCCTCTCACCCTCCATACCTCTGTCCTGTACCCTAGTTCTGTATGTATATATTTAAAAAAAAAAAAAGTAAACAAATGTGTGTGCTTGTCATACTATTCGAGACACTTACAGAAATGAGTAAATCATAATACATACACTCAGAAAGAAAACAGACAAAAATTTTCTATCAAATGATGCTATATAATACAAAAAGCAATAACAGGAATAATTTCTATCATAAGTTAACAGCCTACTTCCAAGGTGCTTCCTTGGGAAATCTTTTATCTTCCAATGTGATTACTCACATCTGACACATATTGCTGGCTAATGGCAAGAGGCCTTAATTCCTACAAATATAGGCTTTCCCAGTACGCTGCTTAAGTATTCTCAGTCATAACTGAAGCTTCTAAAAAAATGAGCAATCCAGGACATAATACCTCTTGTGACCTGGCCTCAGAAATTATACCTTGTCATTTCTGCCCTATTGTTGATCACAGACCAGCTGTAATTCAATTATGACAGGAGAACACACAAGGGTATTCATAAAGAGACAGGGATATCTGTGGTCTATCTGAGAGACTAGCTAACACTTGAGGTTTAGTATCTGCTGTCTGTCTATTAAAGCAGAAAGATTATAGGCCGAGCCCACACGACAACTTAGCAGTTGTCTGCCTGATTTTTCAGAATCAGATGGAAAGATAGTACTCCTAAAGAAAGCAGACTCAACCCTCTTTTACACAATACAAATTCTCTTACTACATTCTCTCTGGTGGCACAAATCTTTCAAAAAACCTCTCCAGAACTTCCCCCATTTAAAAAAAAAAAGTTATGTAAGTATTTTAAAACTCTAAAAGTAGTAGAAAATAAAAGAATGCTTTTTAAAAATCCTGCTGGGTGGGAAAGGCTTTTTGAATGTGAAACAAAAAATTGATATTTTTCTATACATATATTTTTAAAATAAATGAAGTCAATAAATGACAACTGAAGAAAAATTATTTGTAAGACATATGTGGCCAATCTCTAATCCCCCAATTAAACAAACTAAAAACCACTAACAAAATAAATTAAAAGAAAATCAATTTTAAATTAAATGTCAAGCCCTACTAAAATGGCCTTTTTTAGAAAAGAAAATAATAAAAACTATAAGCACAAAGAGAATTAGAGAGAAGACAAAAGTAGACAAGAACTACCACATAAGTTTGGAAGCTTTCTATAGTTGTCTACATAAAGGAAAGCCAAGAAGCAAAACTGTTTGCCTTGCACAGTCTTACAAAGGCTAGCGTGCACGGCGAGGCTGAATTTGTCAGTCTACATTAAGAACTGAGAAACTAGAGGGACTTCCTGGTGGCCTGGGGGTTAAGTCTCACAACCACTTGGAAGGCCCATGTCCCCAGCCAGAAGCTGTGGCTCATGCAGCAGGAGACCTTTCCTGTCTCACCTGCTGCTCCCACCCTAGCAATGTATATTTAACAATGTATTTCAGTAGATCTGTCTGTTCTGCTCCCCACTCTGTGTCTAGTGAATCTTCTGCTCTCCACACCTCTGGCCTGCACTGCAGTTGTTTTTTATAAAAATCTTTAAAAAAGAGAGTAAAGACGCCGAGATCACCGCGTCCAAGCCGGCATAGGAATTGAGGACCGAAAACGGACTATAGACTCACTTACTACAAGTTTTAACCCAAACGAAAACACCCTGGACTCACTAGAAGGTAGATAACTGC